TTTAGGAGTTAGTTAAGCTATTTAATAGTTTTGGTAGAATAAAGGGATAGATATATTTGGTGTATTTAAGCATCAGCATGCCGTTTTCAAAGAATGCAGAATATGATTTTTACAATAGGTACTAAAACTAGGGGACAAATCTGAAGCAATTAGTTCTATTACCAATAAATGTAAAGGTTTCAATTTGGCCACAAAATCAGTTGCTTGATTACATGATTCAGTATTCATTCAATTAACTAACATTTATTGAGCACCAAACATGTATTAAGCTCTGTGCTAAGCACTGAACATCTTTCAGAAGTTTTATTTACTGTGAGTGCAATGTGAATTAACTTTTTAAGAAAGTGATTTCAAAATTACAACTTAACTATAATTCTAAAACCAAAAGTTTTCTTAGGTGAATTATTAATTATATTTATTGCTGATATTATTCCAAATCACACTCTGGCAAAATCTTATATGAGATTATGAGGGACTATTCAGTCTTCATTTACTGCCTGAGTATAAATAGGTTATAGTTTGTAGGATGCTACTTGCTAGGGGTAAGTCATCTGTATCTTGTCAGACATGCATTTTATTATTATTTTTAAATATAAAAGACATGATTTTGCCAAGTGTCTCAAAATAAGGGTCTTGGGTACAGAGTTAAAAACCTAAACAATTTTTAGGCTTCTTAAATAGAAGTTTAGCATGTGATCCAGTGAAGGAGATTTTTAGACTGGACCTGATATTCAACACTTTAATTAGTATGTAGAGTCAGGAGAAGCATCGTAGAAAACAAATAAGAATTTTTAATCATGATATAATAAACAGTTAAAAGACTAGCAGATGTTCAACCAAAGGAAGCATTCTTAGAGGCATTAAGGCAGATCTCTTTATACATCTAGAGATAATATAGAAATGCGATTGTTTAGACCTGATTTGTTAAGCATTCTGGAGTAAAGTGTTAAAATAAGGGAAGATTATTAGATATTTCAAGGAAATAGCTTTCTCTCTCTTCATGTGCATGTGTTGTTTGTGTAAATGGATTATATATATTTATTCATATATATGTATGTCAATGTATTAACTCACAGGGTAGTGCATTTACAACCAATGGAGAGGACGAATAGATGTCTGCAAAGCAATCATTATGATGAAACTATTAGGTGGAGGCTCAAGGATTTTATAAAGGGTTCGTTGGATAGGCTCTTTACCTTGTTATTCTTTTTGAAAATATAATATGTAAATAGTTTTTAAAAGGGAGAAGGTAATATTCTTCCTCAAATGTCAATATTCAGGAAGAAAGAGATCTTCCCACTCTATGACCCATTGAAAGAATACTGGGTGTACTGCAGGTCATACCTCATCTGATGTTAGAGAAACAGCTTGTCTTACAAGTTCTCCATCCAGAAAAGATGTAAGATCATGGGTATAAACCTCAATGGTCAGATCTTTCCCAGGAGGAGGAGAAGTGGATTGTTTGGTATTTCCAAATCACCTTTGTAGAACTAGGCTAGAATGATCCCGTGGGAATTGTTTCTTTAATAAATATACCTTGCATCAGGGTTCTGAATATATCCTGGGGACATAGCAACAAACAGATTCTCAAACGATGCTTATAAACCACAAAAAGAAAAATGGCTCAGGTAAGGAAGCCCAAGAAATCATATGCTGCAAGGATGTTTAAGAGTAACTCTTCTACCTGGCTTTTCAGCCAATTTTTAAGTAAAGGCGGGAATGCAGAAAGGCTTTTTAAAATATTAAAATTTTAGCTTGTCTAGCAATGCATGAAGCCTTAGAATTAATACTTAGAAACACACACACACGCACAATAGAGGAAAGGGTATACGATATGAAAAGGCAAACTTTGACCTGAAAAACAGTTTTTGTACTTAATGAATACTAATAAATACCGGTTGAAAACATGAGATTGAAATTTGGGTCAAAGAAACCTGGATCTGAATTCCCATATGCCACATACTAGTTGCTAAAAACCTTAGTCAAGTTGCTTGACCTAGGGCTCAGTTTCCTCACCTAAAGCATGTAAATAGTACAATGTGTGCACTTTCTTGTATGCACTCACTTTTCTTCTCACAATCATTAGGCATTTATTCCTACCATTCTACTGAATTTGTCAAGATCACCAAAAGAACTACTTGACAAAAACAATGGGCATTTTTCCATTTTTATCTTATTTGGGAACTCTGATATTATTTACAGTTAAAGTATAATGCTACGTATATCTCTAAAATTTCTTTTCCACTGATTTTTTGTGAAAACAGATCACGTTTGCTACCCTTTTATATATTTGCCTTCTTATATATCCATTTTCTTTGGGATTCTTTTTTTCCTACTGCAAAGGGAAGTTTTTCCTAGGTTCCCAACTTTTCTTTCCAGATTTCCTCTCCCACTTTAATTAATGCCTAAGTTAACATGTAAACAGTAACTTGAAAGTTAAAATCTTTCAGATTGCTCTCTGCAGCCATGGCTTCCCATTGTTAATTGAATTAAAAATTACACATACATAAATGTATATATAACTAATTTTTTTTTAACAAGAATAGATTCTTAGGAAACAAACTAAAGTATAGGGATTAGAGTCAGTAGACAGTGACATTAAAGGGTTTTGCAGATTATCTGGCACTGGTTCTTGTTTGTTTGTTTCTGTAAGAATGGGAAGAGATGATAGTGAGCTCCAGTCACGTCTGTGTCCCATATGAGACCGCTTGGTTCGCTTGATGGAAATACAAAATTCCACCCAAGTTATGACAATTGTTAACATCATGTTCCACATTTCAGGAGACCTCTTAAACTGAGCAGCTATTCCTCCTCACAAATTTAAGTATGTAGACACTTTCTGGCACTATACAAATTTTTCAAAATTAAACGCCAGTGTGGCTGTTGCTAGGGACCGAAAACAACAAATAAGGTTCTCTTCTACTTAGGTCAATACAAATACATTAAGAGATATTAGTAACTATTTCCAAAGGACTTAGCATATACTTTTGATACCTAAACGCTGACCAGTCCAAAGTCTAAAACTCATAGCTTTGGCTGAAAGCACTATAATCATATTGGATCTTCTCCTGCTTCTTAGTTCTGGTCCATTTTCAGGGTAACAGTAGGACAACATAGGTGTTTTGCTCCTGTTCTGCACAATAAATTGTGACATTTGTCCATTCTTCATGTCTCTTCTCCATTGCTATTAATTAAGCAGAGTCAGAATATTAAGGGAATGGGGTAGCACAAATTATGATTTTTGATGACGTACATATCACTCTTATTTGGGTACATAAGGGTTGCTTAGTTGAGCCCCACAGAGATTGTGATTCAATGGACCAAATTAGTTGGCAATTTTTCTTTACCTATACCAACAGAATATCTTCTATTTCAGTCCTCAAAATGTCCTTTTTATCACTAACAGTGTTCCTTGAAGTAGTAGGCATTCCTATAACTCATTCACTTTCTTCTATCCGAATCTCCTCAGGATACATGGCTTGTTATCAGAGATGTTTCCACATGTCAAATATGTATTTATTATTGTTTTTATGGACTTTTATAATATGGAAGGGTTGCAAATATTGCTAATATCTCAGTCTTCCTGAATTCCACTTCAGAGTTATCAGTAATGAATCTTATGACAGAAAATTATTTTTAAAAATACTCTGGATTTTTCATAGATTCAAAAGAATTCGGGAAAACAAATGTCATTTGTTTTTTTATATTGTCATTCTTTTTATATTCATTTTTCCATTGTAGTTGGACACAATACTTTTATTTTATTTTATTTTATTTATTTTTTATGTAGTGCTGAAGATGGAACCAAGGGCCTCACATGTGCTAGGTGAGTGCTCTATCACTGAGTCATAACTCCAGCCCCTCCTTGTCATTCTCTTTAATACTTACTGTAATAATTCTGCTCCAATATTTCCTGACTGCATGCAAACAGAATAAGATCAAAAAACCTTGATCTTATAAGATTACAATTATAAAAAGACCACATTTCAAAGACCCCTGTGAAGCCATTCTTAATTTTTCTGGATATGGGCTTAAATAATCTATATAAGTGTCTCCATCAGCAATGTAAGACGTCATTTTTCCCCCTGGCAACCTTGAAATTCCCCCCATATCTATCAGTGTAAAGTTTATGCTTTCAACCACCAATATCTGATATTGCTATTGCTTTTCAAATAAACATTTTTTTCCCCTAAATCTATGGCTGTATGTAAGTATCAGGCTTCTCTGGAGACCTTCAGTCCAGAGGTCTGCATTCTTTAAAATTTTTCTTTAGGAGTTCCCGACAAGTGGTTTTCGTCTTTTTTTTGTGTTTTAAATTTTGTCTCCAATGTTGCAACACTGAAAATTCAGAGTTCCAACTTCCCCAACTCAACACACCCTTCTAGAATGAGTTTGCCAATTATATCCGGTTGTTCAGAGTGCTTCAGATAGGAGAACAAGTTCTCTCCCATGTATGGAACATTTAACATAGCAACATTGAGTACAGTATTTCTCAAGCATTTAATAATGGTTGACTAATTTCTCTTAATCGAGCCTTTTCCTCAGTGATTAATCTTTAAACAATTATTTGTTTCAAGAGAGAAAATCTGAACTGATGCAAATTGAATAAAAATGCAGCAAAGTCCTATTTGAGAAATAATAGTAGATGGAATAAACTAGTGAAGAGAATGTAGTTGGTCTGAAGGTGAGCAATYCGAGAGTTGGAGTCAAGGTTACAAAAACACAGAGGTATGATTGAAAAACCAAAAGCTGTGTGCTTCACAATAAAGTGTGATTATTATCATGATTGTTATTACTATTATTTGTTACTCTAGGCAAAGGCTTAGTGAATACAGGCTTATAATTGACGAAGTCTGATACAACATACAAAAACTTACATGTTTTGAGGTGAGAAATGGCCTGATGGTGTGCTACAAGAAGACAGTGAGAGAGAGAAAGAATACTGTTTATGTAGACACCATAAACCCTGAAAAAATCTTCCCTCCACCTGCAAAACCACCATGTGGTCCAACAACACTGCTGCTCCCTTCTTGCTGATTGGCTTTCTGGGCTCAGAAGCAATTCACCACTGGATCTCCATCCCTTTCTTTTTCATCTATCTCTCCATCCTCTTAGGGAATGGCACACTTCTCTTCCTCATTTGGAATGACCACAGCCTTCATGAGCCCATGTACTACTTCCTGGCTGTGCTGGCAGGTACAGATCTTGGAATGACATTGACTACAATGCCCACAGTCCTGGGTGTCCTGTTGCTGAACCAGAGGGAGATTGCCCAGGGTGCCTGTTTCACTCAGTCCTACTTCATCCACACACTAGCTATCGTAGAATCAGGTATCCTGCTTGCCATGGCCTATGACCGTTTTATTGCCATCCGCTCTCCTCTGAGGTACAACTCCATACTTACCAAYTCCMGGGTRATRAAAATAGGTCTGGGGGTAMTGCTRAGAGGCTTTKTRTCTMTYRTRCCCCCAATTYTGCCACTYTWTTGGTTTYCATATTGCCGTTCCCATGTTCTTTCCCATGCCTTTTGCCTCCACCAAGATGTCATGAAACTTGCTTGTGCTGATATTACATTTAATCGCTTATACCCAGTTGTTCTGGTGGCTCTGACTATCTTCCTAGATGCTCTGATCATTCTCTTTTCTTACATCCTGATTCTGAAGACAGTTATGGGCATTGCCTCTGGAGAGGAGCGAGCTAAGGCCCTCAACACTTGTGTCTCCCATATGAGCTGTGTCCTGGTATTTTACATCACTGTGATTGGCCTGACCTTCATCCACAGGTTTGGGAAGCATGCCCCCCATGTGATCCACATCACCATGAGCTATGTCTACTTTCTCTTTCCTCCATTCATGAACCCAATTATATACAGCATCAAGACCAAGCAGATTCAGAGGAGCATCATTCACCTATTTTCTGGGCATGGCAGAGCTTGAGTATTATAATGTCTTGAGAGTGCCCTGATTTTGGGGTCTTTCCCATTATTATAAAAAAAAATCTTGATTTTTTCAGTTAGAATTAGTTATAAAAAAAAGGTGGACTTGAGTAGCAAAATTATGTATGCATCCATTTTATTAAAGAAGAAATGCCTGTGATCTTGAAGAAAAGGATATAAGTAACAGAAGTTAGGGAGATAGAACAATCTATATCCAGTTTCCAAAAGAAGAGTAATTGTCGGAGGCCTGCCTGAACAGGAGATAAGCACACCTCTTTAAGCCTTGAGTGTGGAGGTATTGGACTGGCATTGCACCCGCTGCAGTGCATGTGGACTTAACTCTGCTCAGCAAGAGAGGTGCACTCTGGGATTGGGCGTCACACTAAGGGGCTGAGCTTACACCCACCTGTTCATTGTAACACAATCCCTTGCCTTATTTGGGTAGAACGTTCCATGGAATGATTCCCCCTGAATAAAACTGGGGTTCAGTGTCCAGTGGCTCTCTTGCTGCTCTTACTCCTTGCCTCCTGCCTCCCTTGCTCCCCTTGCCCTCCAACGTGGGAGCTTGAGCTTGCTGAGCTGTCTCTGACCTCTGAAAAAGGTATTTCTGGGTCTGTGGTCATTTTGTTGCCAGCCCAAATTCACACGGAGCGAACCTGAATCCCACATTCATACGGGACGTGCAGACCAGTAATTTTCTTTCAGAAATTGCCAAATTAAGATAGCCTGGTTCTCTTTCCATATTCCTACCTTACCTCCTGATATTTTTATTCTGACAATAGTGACTATTGATTTAGACTTCACCTACCATTTTCATTCCCCTCATTTCCTTCTCACATAAAACAACTCAGGACATTTTTAACTCATATATTTTTTTTTGTTCTTTTCTGAGAAAACCTGGCAAAAGTAATGCTAGATGGTTTAGGCATATTTCACTGATGACATAATGTGCTTCTTTACCCTTCTTTAAAGTGTTTGTAATTCTTTGTGTTGTCCATCCTGCTTGAGCCATGATCTACCACCTGTAGTTAATGTCCAAATCTGCTGTTAATTTTATGCCAGTGTTTGGAGGTGGCCTATCCTAAATGTCCTTGTCTTATCTAAGAAACCTTATATACCAATGTCACATCTAGGCAAATGAGAACTCTGATGAGAGAATTCTTTTCAAAAGCAAAAGCTAAACATCAGAAATTCCTACAAATTAGATGTACTGTTTTGATGCAGCACAGCTCAAAACTAGTAAGTAGCTAATCCTATATTATTCAGTAATTGTACAGATGGCTAGAAAGAGTTCTTGGACATTTTTTTTTTTTTTTGGTGGTGGTGGGGATTGAACCCAGAACCTTGTACATGTGAGACACTCTACCAACTGAGCTATAGTGGGAACATGGGAGAAATAGACAAACTCTAGATAGGGCAGAGGGGTTGGAGGGGAAGGGAGGGAGCATGGGGTAATTAGTGATGGTGGAATGTTATGATCATTACTATCCAAAGTACATGTATGGAGATACGGATTAGTGTGAATATACTATGTATACAACCAGAGATATTTTAAAAATGTGCTTTATATACGTAATAAGAATTGTAATGCTTTCTGCTGTCATATATAAATAAAATAAATTTATATAAAAAATTTAAGTTCTAGAATATGTTCTTGGGGAAACTCTGATCAAATCACCCTCTTACTACTGGATTTTAGGCTGTTTTAATTTTATTAGGTAATATTAATAGTTCTTGCATAAGCATTTTCACATATTCATCTTTGAGTATTTATCTGATTATTTCCTTAAAATAAACTTTGAAACTCAAAAAAAAAAGAGTTCTTGGAAAGTTTGCCCTACGGGCTTTATTCACTGCCATTTTTTTATATTTCTTTCTATACCAAAAAATTATTTATTTTTCTAAAGTTGCATACAGTATATTTAATTTAGGCACCTAGGTTTCTAGTTATCTTTGCCATTTGGTCTGAAATTCACATCATTTAAAAATATAAATTGCTTATAGAGAACCTACATCCCTTTTGACCACTGGAGGTATAGCAGTAAAAAGAACATAAAACAAGTATAGTGGTATCAACATTTTCATACAAGTGAAAAATTTTGTAGAAGTGGCAGTGTAAAGTGTTTATTAGAGAGGGACTTCAGTGCCATTTCCATGAGTTTGTAGGCTACAACAATAAAGATCTGTCTCATGCAAATTTAGAGATAATATGCTACAAAGTACAATTACTTGTGTTATAGAATTCTAAGAAACAGAACTATATGAATATACATATGAAGTGATGGGACCTAATGGAAAACTCACATTTATTAATGTGGTAGCAAGAGATACTATAATGTGAATTTACAACATATTGATCTTTAATCCTATATCAATTGTCAAAAAATCAATGAAAAAATCATTAATATTAAAAATTATGTATTGTGAATAATTAATAAATGCACATTAATGGATTTTAATTTTAAATGAAACTCATACCTATGTATTCCCTTTAAAAACAACTTCTTACTTTGAAGACCTTTTTGATTAATAGATCAACATCAACTTGCAGATACAGCAATATAAAATGACATGTATCACATAATTGAAATAAAAACAGGGTTCTTCCAAACAAGTGCAACCTCTAGAAAAGTCTCTTGGTGCCCATCCTCACTCTGACCCTGACCACCAGTTTGCTGAGCCTCAGATCCTCCTTATCCAGGGCATCTTGAGTCAGGACTGACCTGAATGAAAGCAGGCAGCATGGCCATCTGTCTTCTGAGGGCTGGAGTTTAAAAACTATTCTCTTTCACACTGTGATTTGTTAGGGGAATAATTGTGTTTTCCCCCTCAGCTTAAGATTTTCCCAGGGATGGCGTCCTCCTGTTCTGTTAATACCCAAATGCCTACTTTTAAAAAATAATTTTTTTATGTGGTATGGCTAGGGCTGATTTACTGAACTTGTGACAGACTTTTATTTCTCTCACTCATAGCAAACATCCTGTTCCAGGTGTTGTTCCAAGAGCTTTACAGGAACTAATTTAGCTCATGTTCGCACCCATTCTGAAGTTCTTGAGAAGAGACAACAAAAACATCTAAGCAACACACACGTTTCAGAATTCTATTTATGGACACAGAATTTGGCAATTATTTCATAATACTGAGATATTTAATGAATGACTTAAACATGGTAGTGAAGATATTACAGGGKTTTTTTTCCCACTTGAAATCTTAGAAATCTCTTTCACCCGCTCCATTTCCAAACATTTTACCAATCCTTTAAACACTCCCTTCTCTAGGTCCTATCGCCTACCCTCTTCTTCATGTGTGGTTTGTGAGCTTGGGTCTGCCTAGGCACACATGCATGTGGAAGCGGTGGGGGATGTTCCCTATCTCTCCTGACATTTGATATTCTCCAGGTTTCAATCTTTAGTTTCCTCATCTGTAAAACAAGGGCATGATATTGGATCTTGTATATTCTAATTCTTTCTTTGTCTTTCTCTCTGTCTCTCTTTTTCTCTCTGTGTTAATAGGTGTACTGTAAAATTGATATAGAACAATTCCGTCAGTCCAAAATAACTCCCTCAATACTGTTATAGTAGTCACACACCCAATCCCTAACTCTGGCAGCCACTGATCTGTTTTCTGTCACAGTTATGTTTTTTATCTTTTCAAGAGTGTCCTACCACAAAACTCATAGAGACTGTAACTCTTTGAGCTTAATTTCTTTCACTCAGCATAATTGTGATTTAGCTATGTTGTAGGATTTATCAATAGCTCATTCCTCTTTGGTTAAGAAATACCACTTGTATGGATCCCATATCACATGGATGTAACTCTCTGTCAATTCTCAATTATTTTCAGTTGGTTGATGTCAACTTCCACATTTACTCATTTTTGACCAACCTTTCCTATGACCATCCCTGAGAAATTTCTCCCAGCCAGAACAGTTCCATGCCCAAATCATTTATTTATTTTTAATTTCTCATTTTTTGTCAGTTCATTATAGTTCTAATGATGGGATTTGTTGTTCCATATTTATGCATGCATGTCAAAAATATAGAAAGGCCAGATTCTTCTCTCTCTGCTGTCTTACTCGTTCACTTCATAGAAATCACTCTCGTCTTGGCATGTCTATATTGTTTATCATTCTCCTCTTTTCTTTATTCTCTATCCAGCTCATGAGCATTCTCATTCCTGAGACACCCTCCCAAACCACTCCCTTTATCTGGCTGCTGACCAATTCCCCTCATTGTATTCACTGGCATTGACACCTCTGATAGTCCACCCCATAGTCTTGGCATCAGTGTTAAATGTTATCACCGTGGAGCAGCTGGATCCAAAAGCATTGTGGACAGATAGAGAACAAGAATCAAAACTCACAAAATGAATTACAATAAGACTAAACATTAACATTCAACTTTTGAACTACAGGGGGAAATACCATAATTTTTCTGAGGAAGTTTGACAAGTAGAGCCTGGATTCTCACAAGGGCTCAGGATATAATCACAACAGGATAGAGTCAATTAGGTCCTCGGTCTCACTGTTACTAGGCGTTGTACTGAGCACTTCACTTTTGCCTACCGGATTCTCACACATATACTTCAACATTATTTTTTTTTGTTATAATGAAGATACTGACCCTAGAGTCTATTACTTAAATAGGTTAAGTATTTTATCCAAAACCTTACAATGTTCAACTTAAACAGATTTATCCATAAGAAGAATGAGTAGAAGTTTCTCTCTTTTTTTTCTGTGCTGGTCAGATGAAAACTGAAATTATTCAGTCCATCTATCACACTTTTCATGGGACTTCAAATTTCCGTGAACCTTTTACATCTAAATTAAAATATCTGGGAACCCAAGGTATCATACCCAAGAGTATATGTGGGTAGATGTTCCTAACAGAAAGGGGAACTGTGTTGGCAAGGATATGTATTTTTAAGTGTTTTTTTTAATTAAATTGCTTTATGTTTGTATATAGTAGAGAGATTCATTTTGACATAATCATACATGCCTTC